TATTACACCGCTCCATAGAAAATCCGGTGGAAAGAAAATTATTGGAAGCACTGGAAATAAGAAGGCTCTCCCCAGAATAGTAAGGACGAGCTACGTGACGCGCTGCAGTTGATTCACTGACTACGGGATAATAGTCGAAGTGGCAGTGATATCATTTGCAGAGGCAACCACTCGGCATCCTCACTATTAAGAGGTGACGGTGGGGTTACTCTGTCAAAAACTTCAAGGCGCGGCTCTCGCAAGGATGCAGCGAAGGCAGATCTTGATTGGAGGCAGCACACCAGTCAGATAACAGACCTCGAATGAGGGCACCAGGTGAGGCAGGGTCCAGGGTTCCATTGGAGGCGGCTAACTGCAGTATCTCAGATTGCTGAAGAAGGGGCTAAGCACCGAAATATTCTAAGGAAGAAATGAAAACAGTAAAATTCCCTGCTAAAACTTTCGTATTCTTTTGGATCTTGCGAGTTTTTGCAATAAAATTTTTGGCGATTCTTTGATGTGTTTTACATTCAGGTTGCAATGAGGCTCTGGGACAGCACTATATTAAAATATTCCTTGCATTTCCTGTAAGTTACTTCCTCTGTTGAGGAGCAGAGCTTTGGTGAGGAGGGCCATTGTCGAGGCCACGCGTTCGGCCAACTGTTGGTTGCTAGATCAAGTCGCGGGAAGATCGTAAGAAACGGTGTTTGATCTCCATCCTTCTCTTTACAGCGAAATGTGTGGGCCCACTAACTCTCTGGTAAGAAATTTAGCATTGTATCTTCCACAACCCGCAAAAATGAGTCATTCTTTAGAAAAGCTTGCATCATGAAATGGTCCCCAGCAATTTTCTAGCCGAAAAAAGGTCTCTACGTATACTAGATAGGGTACAGCATCGGTATGTGTGAAAAGCCGGTGTTGCGGAATTTTTCCTGTGAGGCCTTATAAATCTCTGCGAGGGTAATTTGACATAGGAGCAAGCAATGGAGTTAAAGGGCATATTGCCCAGAAAATTTGGATAGCACCAGTTCAAAAATTGATTAGCAATTAGTGAGTTTAATATAAAGGGAAAAATGGCGAATATCGGAAGTGAAAACGGTCAAGAAACCTGCAGAGAACAGACTTTCGTCGCATGACTTCAAGAAGAGGCAGCGATTTGGACGAGATTCTCCATTCAGACAACTTGTCAATAGATCGTTTACGAGGTATGGCTGCACCTAGCATACTGATTATATCCATACAAGCAATCGTAGGCCGCTTATGCGAGTCCGCATATTGCTCAAATATTTTACTTCGCAATGGTGCAATACAAGCATCCAAGTAAAGATTGTCGCATGTTGAGAGGGCGGGCGGGCGCGCTTGCGCGCTGGCCTGTATGTTTGGCAACTTGATAAAGGCCTGAATTAATAAAGGTAGCATTCACTCGGAAAAGGGCGCTGTGGGCAGGGGGGGGGGGGGGGGGGGGGGAGGGGGGGGGGGGGGGGGGCGCACCCTCCGCGGGGGGGGGGCGCCAGCTTCACGAAGTAAAGGTTCAGTTCTGCCAGGCGCATTGATTCTACACGTCTTAGTGATTTCTCGGCCATCTGCCTTCAAGGTGCATCTGGCATTTAGTCTGGCTACCCTTTGATGTTATCAATTGGTGGTTCATGGTAACAACACAGAAGAGAAATTCACATTTATTCAGGCGTTTCAGCAAAACTTATATTGTTTGCAGATAGTTTCGGAGGATGCACCACCCTGAAAAAAACTCGTATCTTCAGGTTTTCAGGCGTGGTTTCCCGGATCTAATTTTGGAGATACATTCCGTGATTACCTGTGAAATTGAAACCTCTTCGCTGTGAGACGGTCGTAGAGTGTGTACCATCTTCGCTACACAAAAGTGCAGAGGGCGACAGGGGCTTGTTCCCATACCAAAAGGCCTCCTCCCATATCAAAAGCATTTCCCATAGACTCGCAGATTAATTTCGCACTTCTCTTTTTTGCAACATCTGGTATTTTCGGGCCCACACTCTATTCTGAGCGCTCAGGGTGTCACGGTTTTGTCGCCTCTCATTCCTTCGTATGTTCGTTCGAAGGGCAAAATCAGCTGCAAAAATTATGACCATATTTATAGTGTCCCTTGCAAATTTTTTTCGCTCAGGAAAAGAGAGTGTGGACTGCAGTGGCCACATTTGTACAAGTTTGGGTCAGGAAGTTCCAAAGTTGCGTGACGTGAAGCGCAACGCTTCTCAAGTGACTCCGTCCGCATAGCTAGCTCTCATTGCTAGCGTACTGCTCGTTTCAATGTTCCCTCCCTGCCCTTCCCCCGCCGGAACTTCCATCGACTCTTTGTATTCCGCTTGGCACTAGGAGGGTGTTACTTGGGATCGGTTTCAACTTTTTCCTCTGGTTTTTTCCCAAGTTCAAGTCCGCTAACACACATACTCTCCCTTAACTCCGCTACTTACGAAACTTTCTAGCCTACGACAAAGGCTGTTTTTGAGGCTTCTAGATCCCCAAAACAGCCACTGCATAGGGCCTCATAATGGGAATCAAACAAATCCTCCATCTTCTTCAACACTTTCAGATTTTCTCGTGGCATATTAGCTCCAATGGTCACAATTTGCAATTTGCTTGAAACTTTCGTGCAGAGTGGAAACGAACCTTCATTTGCTTCAGAATCGAGTCCATATCAGCGCAGATAGGCTTGAGCTCGGCCATTGTTTTGCATACTCCATTCTTCAAATCCTGCAATTTAATAGATCTACATATTCGAACGATTAAGAGAATGAGATCTTTTCTCCAAAATTACTCAACATCTCAAGGTAAATTATCCACACATACACGAGTTTTCCAAAAATACTAGTATTTTACACAAGATCAGAAGCAGCTCTTTCAAATTTTACGTCATTTATAGGCACGCTCAGCTACCTGCTGCGGAGCTGATCTTCTCCCTGGGCATTAATCGCCAGGGGCGAACTTTCGCTACGTCCTCTATGAGCTCATGATGAATCCTAGGCAGGCATGTAAGTTACCAGTGGCAGAAATTTACAGGTCTCAACGAAGCGGCTGTACAAGCTATGCTGCGGGAAGACGGCGCCCCCACCAAGCCAATGGCTGGTTTTTCGTGAACTGAATGAACAAGTATGTTTACTGAAAGACTGCTCTCCAGTGTATGTTTATTTTATCAACGCTCACCTTCTTCAACACTTCCGGCTCTTTAAATAGCAGTTCCAGTCCTGCCCCCTCCACACCAAGCTTGCACATCCTGCACATTTTCTTCGTTTCGCAGAGACTCACAGAGAACAAAGTGAGCATGAGTGCAAGAATGAAGAATACTTTCATTTTGCTTATCTTCGGCTCTGAGTTATCTGAAAGAGAGATCTCGTTATGGTCGTGCCGTGACTGCTAGAGCATCGGGGTGGGTCTAAGGTACGTCATGGGAGAACGCCATCAATGGGTGTATTTCTTCGCTGAAAGAGAGATGGGAG